CTCTCTGGCCGAACCAAGCCCAGGCCCTTTTTGTTTGTTACGAAACTCGTGGTCGCGCGCTACATCGCCATGGCAAGGCGCGTGCCTGCAGAAATACGGATGGGCTAGCAGTCTCATTGGAAGCCTGGAACAGGCAAGCGTGGCGGGGGGAGGGCGGAAGGGGCGGGCGGGCGGGGGGACCGGTAACTCTATCGTTTGAAGCGTGCAGCAAGAGCAGTCTCATCGGATCTCTGGAACAGGTTGAAGAGGCAATCTCGGGGGGCGGGGTCTGAGGGGTGGGGGGGGGGGCGGGGTGGGAGGCTAATAACGTCCGTGTTTGATGCGTGCAGCCAGACTACTTTTGTCATAGGGACTTCGGAAAACGCAAGCTCGGAGGCTGGACACGCACCTTTGGGTGGCGGGGGTGGTGGGTTGGGGGTGGGAGGTTAATAACGTCCGTGTTTGATGCGTGCAGCAAGAGTACTCTCGTGGGAACTCTAGAAAACGCAAGCTCGGAGGTTGCAAACGTGCCTTTTGATTGGTTTCGGGGGGTGGGTGTCGGTCACGTTCGCACTTATGTAGGCTACAAAAGGCATGGTTCGGTCGGCTCTGGGCGGGCTCGGGGGTGGAGGGGGTGGGGTGAGGGCAGGGGGGTAGGGTGGGGTGGGGCGGGGGGTTAATAACGTCCGTGTTCGAGGCGGGCAGCAAGAGCAGTTTGTTGCGCTGTAAGACTTCGGGAGAAAGTTAAGGGGGAAAAGGGTTATTTACTGTTGCAGGACAGCGAGGCCAAATCCAACGTGCCGGCAATGTGGAGGCTGTCTCCTCAAGGTGCCAGACGTTCATTGCTTCCAATTCAGATTTCCGCCGATCTCAGGTCGAGTATCGTCTCTGAATGGTAGAGCACGAGTGCCTTGAGAGGCGGGGAAGTTGACGGGTCCTCTCAGTTCTTTCGGGCCATTTCTAGGCAGCAGGGTGAGACTTTCGCAGGGTCTCGGCTCTCTGGCCGGACCAAGCCGACGCTTTTATCATCAAAGGAGTGGTCGCGCGTCACATCGCCACGGAAAGTTTTCTAAGGCAGATGCACAGAAATCGGTCGGCTCGAAAGGGAGAGGCATCCTGCGCCGTGTCCTGGGCTTTGGCTTCTAGCCAGGTGAAGCTTTCCTTTGTTTAAGTTGGCAGTTAGGATACGATAAAGCTGAGACGGCTTGCAGCGAAGGCCGACGAATGTGGAGGTCTCGGCTCTCTGGCCAGACCAAGCCGAGGCTTTTTTCATCAAACGAGCTTTTGTGCGTTACAAAGCTATGGCAAGTCTTGTAAGGCAGATGCGCAGAAATCGGTCGGCTCGAAAGGGCGAGGCATCCTGCGTTGCGTCCCGGGCCTCGGCTTCTAGGCAGGTGCAGCTTTCCTTTGTTTGAGTTGGCACTTAGGACACGACAAAGCCGAGGCGGCCTGCAGCGAAGGCCGATGTTGCACACACACACACACACACAAGGAAGTGCATCTTTTCCGATACGGACGTTGCCGGGATCTCAGGTTGAGTGGCGTTCTTCAACGGCAGAGATTACGATTTTAGAGAGGCAGAGATGCCGACGACTCGTTTTTCTCGCGGCGGAGCATGCGAAGGCAGTAGGGCGAGAGTTTTGCAGGTCTCGGCTCTCCGGCCGGGCCGAGCCGAGCTTGCGCTCGACGTACGTCTTCAGGCAGTGGTAGCGTGGCCCGCCGCCATGGGTTGACATGGGACACCCAAAAAAAACATGCAGGCGCGCGATAAGTGCATGTGCTTCCAGTTGAGATGTTCGGCGAGCTCAGGTAGACCTCTGTCGCTCCAGGGCAAAGAATACGAACCCAGAGAGGCGGGGATTCCCGGGACATCTTTCTCTTGCGGCGGAACATGCGTAGTCAGGAGGGCGAGAGTTTCGCAGGGTCTCGGCTCTCTAGCCAGGCCAAGCTGAGCTAGCACTCGACATACATCCTCAGGTACTCGTTACGAGGCCTGTCTGCAGGGTCTCGGCTTTCTGGCCAGGCCAAGCCGAGGCAGCACTCGACTCACATCTTCACTTTCTCGTTGCGAGGCCCGTCGCTATGGCTTTGCATGTGCCTTTGAAAATACAAATAGGTAACGGCCCTAGCGATCTGTGCGCGGGGTTGCTGGATGGTCTGGCCAATTGGGTCAAGGCGCCGCCACACCTGTTCTGGGGGATTGGGGCCGCTCTGGTCGGCGTGCCAGAACTGAAGCGGAATCTCGGGCGTGCTCTTGGCACTGCTTCTGTGTTTCTGCAGCTCAGGGACAATGGACGCGATGTTGTTTGCAGAGTGTCCTGCCCTCCCTTCGTGCACGTGCACTTCCTGCCGCCACTGCTACATTCCTTCGAGTGGGTAAAGATCGTCTGCGTCCTTTTCGAGCAAAATGACGAGTCGGAGGCCTTGGCGGTGCTCATGCACAGGGAGGTGCCGGAGCTTGCTCACGAGATCTGGGACGAAGTGTTGTGCATCGTACGCCATAAGCACTTTCACGTTCTCATCGTGCTGATTTGGCGAGGCCGCCTTGCCGTCGATCATCTACACCTGGTGGAAGCTTCGCCATCCGGGCGCGCTCCGCTCCTGTCGCTGACTGTGAACGACCATCGAGGCCACTTCGAAGCACTTTTGGCATTGCGCGCGGAGGTTAACTGCCCGGACAGTCGTGGTCATACTCCTCTGGCTTATGCGGTCCGTGCCCGCTCGCCCGCTCGCGCTACGCTGTTGCTACAGGCAGGTGCCGCGGTCGCGCCGGACACGGGATATTGCCCACTCCTGCTGTCCGTGGCTGAGAGTCAGCGTGACATGCTGCATATTCTGCTGCATGCCAGGGGCTGCCCTCATCGGCGTGCCCCATCAGGCAGCCTTCGCGGAATTTCTCCTTACGATTTGGCGTGTCAATGGGATGATGAAACGACTCTGCGGTCTTTCCGACTGCATGGGCACCACGCCGCTGGCTTGCGCCCGCCGATCCTGCCCGTTTGTTTTTCTTTGAGCGGCACCGAAGTTGCCCTCAGCGAAGCCGGAGCCCAACACATTTCGGTGCTTGAGCATTGCCATCGCATGCCTTCGGTGGGGTTGGCTGCCGAAGAACACGATGATCGGGTTGCCATCACCTACGACTCTTCTTTGTCTGTGCGGGCTTATGCATTGGCCTTGCGGCGTGCTCTCGTTGGGGGTCACCATGACTCGGCCGCTAACATCCTGGAGCGTTATCCCTTCTTGATCAACGAGCAGGAGTCTCGAGTGTGGGGCGAGCAGGGCCTTCCTCTTCTTTGGGCGGTCGTGCGACAGGAAGCCGGTGCCGTTTCCACGCTGTTACAGGCGCGGGCCTCTCCGAACGCAACGCCCGGTCACGCTGCCCCGTTGCTTCTTGCGGCTCGACATGGAGGAATCGAAGCGGCCACTATACTTCTTATGGCACGAGCAGACGTCGGTCACGTTGGTGCCGGCGGCCAGTGCGCGCTGAGCGCAGGGGCGGAGCGTCAGTCTTATCCGGTGGTTTTGCTTCTCTTGGAATTCCGCGCTCATGTGAGTCAGGACCCGGAGGATCTTTTGCCGCTACTGGACAAAGCATTTTTGGGTGCTCGCAAAGATTTGGACCATTGCGCCACGCCGGCTCTATTGCTACGAGCCGCTGGTGCCCTTCCGCACTCCGCACTTTTCCATGCCGTAATCTCGGACCTCGTTCCGCGGCTCGTGGCCGAAGGCCACTGGTTCGGCCTCTTCGTGCTTCAGTGCTGGGCGCATTCTCGGTCGGGGCTCGATTCGACGGCCGTCCCAGGCTGTCCTGTCGCTCTGGCTTCGGGCTCCTAATCGATGACGCGTCGCTGTTGCCACACGAGCACGGAGTCTGTATCATACCAACAGAGGACCCAGTGCAGTATGGAAATTGCGATCGTGCAGGCAGGTCAGAGGAGGGACTTTGTGCGGCGGCGCTGGGGTTTCTTCCGCGGTGTGCTTCTCTCGTTCAGGTCCTTCCTTGCCTTGTTGACAGAGAAGCACCCTGCTTTGGTCGCGATGGAGAGCTCCTGGATAGGCAGGAAACTATCTTGCTTGGTGGCGAGAAGAACGTCTTGGCAGCATTCTCAATGGCCTGGTGAAGCCGATGTTACGCGCGACCGGGACAGCAGGCTCTTTTGCTGTCTCGGCCGTCTCCAGGCAGGATCTTTGCGAAGCTGCCGACAGCGTCGACGGAGAGTTCTAGGTTCCTTAAAAAAAAACCTCAGGAAGAAGAGAGATCGCAGATACAGACGAGACGAAGCGCAAAACCCGGGCATTTGCTCGTCGGTCAGGCAGGGGACCGTCTTGCTCGCTCGCGATATTCAGGACTTGCCAGATTTCTCAGGGAAACAGTGGGGTCTCGGCTCCATGGCCATGCCAAGCCGAGTCCCGGGCTTTGGCTTCTAGCCACGTGAAGCTTTGCTTTCTTTGATTTTGCACTTAGGACACGACAAAGACGAGGCGGCTTGCAGCGAAGGCCGATGTTGCAGGCACACACACACACAAGCAAGCGCATCGTTTCCATTCGGATGTTGCCGCGATCTCAGGCCGAGTGCCGTCCCTCAACGGCAGAGACTAGGATTTTAGAGAGGCAGGGATGCTCGTGGCTCGTTTCTCTCGTGGCGGAGCACGCGAAGGCAGCAGGGCGAGACTTCTGCAGGGTCTCGGCTCTCTAGCCAGACCAAGCCAAGGTTGCATTGGACGTACATCTTCAGGTAGCGGTAGCACGGCCCGCCGCCATGGCCTCGCGCGGGACACGAAAAATGCATGCCACCCAGCATCCAGAGACTCGATCTCAGGTGGAGTTCCGTTCCTGAACGGCACAGCAGGCGAGCCTAGAGAGGCGGGGATGCCGACGGCTCCTTTCTTTGATTTCGGAGCATGCGTGGACAGCAGGGCGAGAGTCTTGCAGGGTCTCGGCTCTCTAGCCAGGCCAAGCCGAGCTTTGTTATTTTTCTTGATTATATCTTGTTGAAGTAGTGGCTCTGCGGCACACCGCCATGGCTCTTTGCGTGCTTTTAGAAATTCAGAGGGGCGACCGTCCCAGCGATGTGTGCGCGGGGCTGCTGGATGGTTTGGCCGACTGGCTGAAGGCACCGCCAATCCTGGTTAGGGGGCTTCAGCCCGTCGAGATCGGCGAGTCGGCCTTCAAGCGCGATCTTGGGCTTGCTCTGGGCACGGCCCCCGTTTTTCTGCAGCTGCGGGATGCCCGACGCGACGATGCCGAAGCAGCGGGTTCCCTCTCCTTGCTGCAGGTGCATTTCGTGCGACCAGCGCTCACTCCGCTCGAATGGGTCCTTACCGTCGACGACTATCTCGAGCGCGGGGACGAGGACGAGGCCCTGTCGGTGCTCATGCATGACGAGGTGCCGGAGCTGGCAGACGAGATCTGGGACGACACGCTGCGCTTCATCTCTCACTATCACTTTTCCCTTCTCATGATGCTGATCATGCGAGGACGGCTTGCCGTCGATCATGATCTCCCGCCGGAAGATTTCTGTTCCTGCCGTGCTCCTCTTCTTTCGATGGCCGCGAACCGGCCTCGCGGTGATTTCGAAGCGCTTTTGGCATTGCGGGCAGATGTAAACAAACCCGACAGTCGCGGTCATACCCCGCTGGTTTATGCGGTCTTTGCCTACTCGCGCGGTTGCACTACGCTGCTCCTGCGGGCAGGCGCTTCGGTCGCGCCGGACACGGGATACTGCCCGCTCCTGTTGTCCGTGGCCATGGGGCAGTGTCAAATGGTGAATGTTCTGCTACATGCGAGGGCGTGCCCCCATCGGCGTGCCGTAGCGGGCAGCCTTCGCGGGATATCTCCGTATGGTCTGGCGTGTGAATGGAATGACGGAGAGATCATGCGGGCTTTCCGAATGCACGGGCACCATACTGCGGGCCCGCACCCGCCGATCCTGCCTGTTTGCTTTTCCCTGAGCGGTTGCGAGGTTGCCCTCAGTGAAGCCGGAGCCGAACATGCTTTGATCCTAGAGCAGTTCCATCGCATGCCTTCGGTGGGGTTGTTGGTCGCCGAAGAACACAGTGATCGGATTGCCATCACCTACGACTCTTCCGCGTCCTTGCCAACCTATGCACTGGCCCTGCGGCGTGCCTTTTGTAGGCAAGACTACGACTTGGCTGCTAACATCCTGGAGCGTCGACCCTTCCTGATCGAGGAGGCGGAGTATATAGTATGGGGTGACGACGGGCTTCCTCTTGTTTGGGCGGCTAAAATACGGGAAGTCGGTGCTATTTCTACGCTGCTACAGGCGCGGGCATCTCCTAACATGACGACGCCCGGCCACGCCGCCCCGCTTCTGCTCGCGGCTCGGCATGGGGGAATTGGATCGGTCGCTCTACTTCTCCTGGCTCGAGCAGATGTCAATCACGTCGATGCCGACGGCCTCTCCGCGCTGAGCATAGGGGCGGCGCTCCGCTCCCCCCCTTTGGTCTCGCTCCTGTTGGAGTTCCGCGCTCATCTGAGCACGCGGCCGGAGGTTCTTTTGCCGCTATTGAACAGCACGTTCCAGCGCGATGGCCTCGGCCACGACCATTGTGAAGCGTCGGTTCTGCTGCTGCGCGCAGCCGGCGGCGTTGGGCATTCCGACGTGGTCCACAAGGTAATTTCGGAACTCGTTCCGCGACTCCTGGCCGAGGGCAATTGGTCCGCCATCTTCGTGGTTCACTGCTGGGCGCACCTGCAGTTAGGACTCCAATCGACGGTCGCCTCCGGCTGTTGCCCTGCTTCGGCTTCGGGGTCCTAGGTTACAGGGTGTTCCTGTTGCCAGAAGAGCATCGAGGCGCAGTCATTCTGAAAGAAATCCTACGACGAGAAATGAGATCGTGCATGTAGGTTGGAGGAAGAACTTCATTCCACGGCGCCGGCCCTTCTTTCTCGGTCTTTTCATCTCCCGGAGGTCCTTGCTCGATTGCGGGAGACGGACGTTGCCCGTTGCGACGGAGAGCTGATTGGACAGGCAGGGAACCGTTTTGCTTGCATTCGACAAGAACGATTTGCCAGCCTTCTCAGGGAAACACCGGTGTTTCGGCTTCTTGGCCAGGCCAAGCCGAGGTTACCCAGGAACCGAAAGGCAAGCCTTTCTGCCGTTCCGCCTGTCTCGAGCCAGGTTCGATCTTGTCGACGGGGATCGGTACTTTCCTTTCGTCTTGCGGAGCTGCTTTGGCAGGTTACTGAGGTACGAGCGACGCAGTTCGCGTCCCGCGCGCATGAATCCTTGTTTTGAAAGGCAGATTCACACAAATCGGTCGGCTCGAAAGGGAATGGCATCCTGCGCTGTGTCCCGGGCCTTGGCTTCTAGTCACTTCAAGCTTTCCTGTCTTTGTTTTTTGCACTTAGGACACGACAAAGCCGAGGCGGGCTGCAGCGAAGGCCGATGTTGCACGCACACACACACACACACACACAAAGAAGCGCGTCGTTTCCGATTCGGATGTTTCCGCGATGTCAGGTCGAGTGCCGTCCCTCAACGGCAGAGACTAGGATTTTAGAGAGGCAGGGATGCTCGTGACTCTTTGCTCTTGTGGCGGAGCACGCGAAGGCAGCAGGGCGAGACTTCTGCAGGGTCTCGGCTCTCTAGCCAGACCAAGCCGAAATTTGCACCTGACGTACATCTTCGGGTAGTCTTTGCGCGGCCAGTCGCCATGGCTTTGCACGGGACATCAAAAATACACGTTGCCGAGCATCCCAGCGACCTGCGCGTCGCTTTGCTGGAGGTCGGAGGAAGAAGTTCATCTCACGGCGCCGGCCCTTCTTTCTCGGTCTTTTCATCTCTTGGAGGTCCTTGCCCGATTGCGGGAGACGGACGTTGCCCGTTGCGACGGAGAGCTGATTGGACAGGCAGGGAAGCGTTTTGCTTGCATTCGACAAGAACGATGTGCCAGCCTTCTCAGGGAAACACCGGTGTCTCGGCTTTTTGCCCAGGCCAAGGCGAGGTTACCCAGGAACCGAAAGGCAAGCCTTTCTGCCGTTCCGCCTGTCTCGAGCCAGGTTCGATCTTGTCGACGGGGATCGGTACTTTCCTTTCGTCTTGCGGAGCTGCTTTGGCAGGTTACTGAGGTACGAGCGACGCAGTTCGCTTTCTGCGCGCTTCAATCCTTGTTTTGTAAGGCAGATGCACAGAAATCGGTCGGCTCGCCAGGGAACGGCATCCTGCGCTGCGTCCCGGGCCTTGGCTTCTAGCCACTTCAAGCTTTCCTGTCTTTGTTTTTTTGCACTTAGGACACGACAAAGCCGAGGCGGGCTGCAGCGAAGGCCGATGTTGCACGCACAAACACACACACACAAAGAAGCGCATCGTTTCCGATTCGGATGTTTCCGCGATGTCAGGTCGAGTGCCGTCCCTCAACGGCAGAGACTACGATTTTAGAGAGGCAGGGATGCTCGCGACTCGTTGCTCTTGTGGCGGAGCACGCGAAGGCAGCAGGGCGAGACTTCTGCAGGGTCTCGGCTCTCTAGCCAGACCAAGCCGAAATTTGCACTTCATGTACATCTTCGGGTAGTCGTGGCGCGGCCAGTCGCCATGGCTTTGCACGGGACATCAGAAATACACGTTGCCGAACATCCCAGCGACCTGTGTGTCGCTTTGCTGGAGGGTCTGCCCAACTGGCTCGAGGCAGCTCCCATGCTGGTTTTGGGGAGAGACCCTGCCGGGATCGGTGTGCCGGAATTGAAGCGCGATCTAGGGCGCGCTTTCGGCATCGCTCCCGTATTTCTGCAGCTGCGGGAGACTCGACGCGATATCGGCGAAGGGGCGAATTGCCCGCTCTTTTGGCATGTGCGCTTCGTGCGGCCAGCGCTGCTTCCCTTCCAATGGGTCCTTACCGTCAACGTCTATCTGACGCGCGGGGACGAGATCGAGGCCTTGGCAGTGCTTATGCATGACGAGGTGCCGGACTTGGCAGACGACATCTGGGACCAGACGTTCTCGACTATCCGACGTCAGCACTTTAAACTTATCATCATGCTGATCCTGCGAGGCCGCCTCGCCGTTGATCATCGGCTATCGGCGGAAGATGCTTCCTTCTGGCGCGCTCCGCTCCTCTCACTAACTGCGGCAGGGCCTCGATGCCATTTCGAAGCGCTTTTGGCACTGCGGGCAGACGTAAACAAACCCGACAGTCGTGGTCATACCCCGCTGGTTTATGCGGTCTTGGCAAACTCACACGCTCGCACTACGCTGCTCCTGCGGGCAGGTGCCATGGTCGCGCCGGGCACGGGATACTGCCCGCTCCTGTTGTCCGTGGCCAAGAGGCAGCGTCAAATGGTGCACATCCTGCTACATGCGAGGGCGTGCCCCTATCGGCGCTCTTCAGCAGGCAGCCTTCGCGGACTTTCTCCGCACGGTCTGGCGTACCAATGGGATGACTCAGAGACCATGCGGGCTTTTCGAATCCACGGGCACCATGCCGCCGGCCCGCACCCGGCGATCCTGCCCGTGTCTTTTTCCTTGAGCGGAAACGAAGTTGCCCTGAGTGAAGTCGGAGCCGAACATGCCTCCGTGCTACAGCTGTGCCATCGCATGCCAACGATGGGGTTATCTGCCGAAGAACACAGTGATCGGGTTGCCATCACTTACAACTCATCCGTGTGCCCGCGGGCCCACGCATCGGCCTTGCGGTGTGCCCTCAGTGGGGGCGACCATGACTTGGCAGCCAACATCCTCGAGCGTCGTCCTGACCTGATCCAGATGTCGGATTATCGAGCGTGGGGTTTTAACAACCTTCCTCTTTTGTGGGCGGTCGAGCTCGAAGCTGGTGCTGTTTGTACGCTGCTACAGGCACGGGCATCTCCGAACGTGACGCGCGGGTCTGCTGCCCCGCTTCTTATTGCGGCTCGACAGGGAGATCTTTCGTTGGCCGCCATGCTTCTCCTAGCACGAGCAGATGTGAATCTTGTCAGTGCCGACGGCCGCTCCGCGCTGAGCATAGGGGCATCCTTCCGCAATCTTCCTCTGGTCTCGCTTCTCTTGGAGTTCCGTGCTCATGTCAGCCCACGCCCCGAGGTTCTCTCGCCGGTATTTCAGAAATCGTTTCTGGGTGGCGGCAGAAGCTTCGATCATTGTGCCGCGGCGCTTTTGCTGCTACGTGCTGCTGGTGCCCTTCCGCACTCCGTTGTCCATGCCGTACTCTCGGAACTCGTTCCGCAGTTCATGGCTGATGGCAACTGGAAAGCGATCTTCGCGATTCAGTGCTGGGCGCAGTCGCAGTTAGGTCTCCAACCGAAGGTTGGCTCCGACCGTTGCTTTGCCCTGGCTTCGGGGTCCTAGGCAACGGTGCGTGGCTGTTGCCGCAGGAGCACGGAGTCCGTGTCACATCGAAAGAGGACCGAGTACGGAAAATGAGATCGTGCATGTAGGCTAGAGGACGAACTCCATGCGACGGGACGGACTCTCTTTCTTGGTGCGCTTATCCCGTTCAGGTCCTTGTCTTGTCGACAGAGACACGCACTTTGCTTGTCGCGATGGAGAGCTTTCGGGGAGGCGGAGAATCGTCTTGCTTTGTGGCGATGAGCATGACGTGCTAGCATTCTCAGGAGAACAGGGGAGTCTCGGCGCCATGCCCAGGCTAACCTGATGCTGCGTATGAAGGGGACAACATGCTTTATCTCTCGCAGTCTGGGCCGTCTCCACGCAGTCAGTCTGCGAAGCTACTGATTTTCTCGATGGAGCTCCTGGACAGGCGGGGAAATGTCTTGCTTGGAGAGACAAGAAGAACTGGCCAGCATTCTCAGGGGAGCAGGGGAGTCTCGTGTCTGCGGCCAGGTCAAGGCGATGTTGAGCCGATACGTGCGTTGCCTCGAATTCAGATTTCTGCCCGTCTCAGGTCGAGCTCCGTCCCTGAACGACAGAGCATACGAGCTCGGAGAGGCGGGGAAGCCGAGGGCTCCTTTTTCTCGTTTCGGAGCATGCGTGGGCGGCAGGGCGAGAGTCTCGCAGGGTCTCGGCTCTCTGGCCAGACCAAGCCGAGGTTGCAAGCGATTTAAATCCCGAGGTGGCTCTCCTGCGCCACGTCGCCATGGCTTCGCCTGGGCCCTTAAAAGTACAGCTAGGGGACCGTCCCAGCGATCTGTGTGCGGGGCTGCTGCACGGCCTAGCCAACTGGCTCGGGGCGACGCCCATCCTCGTTCGGGGGTCAGATCGGGGGCTTCGGCGCGAGAAGGTCTTCATGCGGGAGCTCGGGCGTGTTCTTGGCGTCGCCCCCATCTTCCTGCAGCTGCAGGAAGACGGACGCGACGTCGCGGAAGCAGCGGCTTCGTCTGCGTTTGTGCACGTGCACTTCGTGCAGCCAGCGCTAACTCCGCTGGAATGGGTCGTCACCGTTGACGTCTATCTCGAGCGTGGGGACGAGGACGAGGCCTTGGCAGTGCTCATGCACCACGAGGTGCCGGAGCTAGCAAATGAGATCTGGGATGATACGCTGCGTATCATCGCCCGGCACCACCATTCCGTTCTCATCATGCTGATCATGCGAGGATGCCTTGCCGTCGATCATCGGCTCCCGGTGGAAGATTTCTCTTCCTGGCGTGCTCCGCTTCTGTCGCTGGCCGTGGAACAGCCCAAAGGCGATTTCGAAGCGCTTTTGGCATTGCGGGCGGATGCTAATTTCCCCGACAGTCGTGGTCATACCCCTCTGGCTTATGCCGTCTTGGCCTACTCGCACGGTTGCACCACGCTGCTGTTACGAGCAGGTGCCTCAGTCGCGCCGGACACCGGATATTGCCCACTCCTGTTATCCGTGGCCAAGATGCAGCGTCAAATGGTGCATATTCTGCTACATGCTAGAGCCTGCCCCCATCGCTGCCTTCGCGGGGTTTCTCCACATGGCCTGGCGTGTCAATGGGACGATGCAGAGACCATGCGGGCTTTTCGAATCCATGGGCACCATGCCGCCGGCCCGCACCCGGCGATCCTGCCCGTGTCTTTTTCCTTGAGCGGAAGGGAAGTTGCTTTCAGTGAAGCTGGAGCCGAACATGCTATCATTCTACAGGTTTGCCATCGCATGCCTCCGGTGGGACTATCTGCTCGAGAACAGTGCGATCGGGTTGCCATCACTTACGACTCTTCTGCGTGCGTGGAGACTCACGCGCTTTTTTTGCGGCGTGCCCTTAGCGGGGGCGACTATGACTTGGCTGCCAATGTCCTGGAGCGTCATCCCTTCTTGATCGAGCAGGAGCATGGAGTATGGGGCGAGCACGGCCTTCCTCTTTGTTGGGCGGCCCAGCGACGGGAAGTCGGAGCTGTGTCTACGCTGCTACAGGCGCGGGCATCTCCGAACACGACGGGCCGCCGCCGTGCTGGCCCGCTTCTGCTTGCGGTCCGATTCGAAGATGTCGGATCGGTCGCCACACTTCTCCTGGCAAGAGCAGATGTCAATCGCGTCAGTCCGGAGGGCCGCTCTGCACTGAGCATGGGGGCGGCGCTGCGCTCTCAACCTTTGGTCTCGCTCCTCTTGGAGTTCCGCGCTCATGTGAGCCCATGTCTCGAGGTTCTCTTGCCGCTACTGAACAGCACGTTCCTGCGTGTGGGCGAAGGCCACGACCACTGTGCAACGCCGGTTCTACTGTTGCGCGCAGCTGGTGGTCTTTCGCATCCCCTCCGGGTCCATGCCGCAATCTCGGAACTCGTTCCGAAACTCCTGGCCGATGGCAACTGGTCCGCAATCTTTGTTCTTCAGTGCTGGGCGCAGTCGCAGTTGGGTCTCCAATCGAAGGTCGGTCGCGACCGTCGCCTCGTCCAGGCTTCAGAGTCCTAGGCAACAGCGTGTGGCTGTTGCCACACGATCGCGGAGCCAGTGTCGTATCGAAAGAAGACCTACTGCGGAAAATAAGGTCCTGTGTGCAGGCGTGAGGAGGAACTCCACGCGACGGGCTGGGCTTTCTTCCTTGGTGTCCTTATCTCCGTCGGGTCTTTGCCTCGTTGAGAGAGACAGACTTTGTTCGTCGCGGCACACGCCAAGGAGTACAGCATGCGGATTTACAGGATCTTCCAGGAAACAGCGCCCACCGAGCTTCGGGGCACTCGGGTTTTTTTTTTTTGACTTTCCTAAGAAAGCTGAACGACAAGGCTCTGGTAGCGCCGCCGACAGCCTTGAAAATCAGGCTTCTTCTTTGACCTTCCTAGGAGGTCGACGACCAGCCTCCGGCAGCGTGACACAGTGGAAAGTCGAGCAAACAAGGGAGGCCGCCTCTGCATTCAGCGACTGTGCTTGCGTTCAGCGAGTGTGCAAGTCGTGCCCGTATTTAGCGAGTGTGCAAGTCGAACACCAAAGCTTGGCCCTCTCCGACCCCCATAGGACGTTAGCCGGGTGCAGGGGTGGCTGGATACATTAATTTTCCTTGGGGTTACACAGCAGGTAATGTATCCTGGGGGGGGGTGTGGGAATCATGGTCGGGGATGGTGATCAACAAACCGTATTGCTTGCTGGCGACTAGAACCACTTGCCAGCATTCGCGGGAGAACCGGGGAGCCTCGACAGGCGGAGGTCGGTCCCTACGCGGCGAAGCCACGCCTCCGAGCAGGCGGGGACTTTTCCTGATCGCTTCGGAGTGGCAGCAGCAGGGGCAACGAGCACCGTCGCGAGGCTTTCGCAGGGTCTCGGCTCTATATGGCCAGACCAAGCCGACGTCGTAAAGGAGAGGTAGATAGTTTTCTAGAGGCGATGGAGTCGGCGCTCTTACACTTGCGCATTGCGCTTGCAGGGGCAACGAGCACCGTCGCGAGGCTTTCGCAGGGTCTCGGCTCTGTATGGCCAGACCAAGCCGACGTCGTAAAGGAGAGGTAGATAGTTTTAGGTTCAGAGTTTAGGGGTTTGGGCTTCGGGTTTATATATTCGTTCGGAGTTAGAGAGATCGATGAAATCATGCATTTCAAAGAGACCTCGTTCAACAAATTGGGTTCAGAGTTTAGGAGTTTAGGAGCCTTGGTGCTCAGATCTCACGGTTCATGGAGTTTGGAGTTTCTGGTATTCTGGGTTGAGGCCTTTGTGAGACCTTTAGTAGGGCTCGTGCCGAATTCTTTCTTTCGGTCTAGTTTCGGCTCCTCTTATCGGGCACTGGAGACCCTTCTCCCGGCAGACACGTCTTGCTAGAAGGGCCCCAGAACTCTGTCACGGGCCCTAGGCCGTAGCAGCTGCTGCTGAGAGATGGCCCATTCTTTCGTGGAGTTTCATTCACTTGCTGGCGCAGCTCCTGACGATGATGAGGCCGGGGACACGATCATTGAGCCTCCGGCGACCACTGCTGCTGTTGACGAGCTGCCTGGAGAGCGACTCCCAGATTCTGCAGATCGCTCTCGTTCACCGCCCTCGGATCGAGGTTTTGGCCGCCTGCCTGGCCCGCTGACTGCCGAGCGAGTCGACAAACATCTTCGTGAGGTCGAGGAAGAGCTCATCAACGTCCACTTGGATCTGGGGCGCGAGCGTTACCGGACGAACCAGCTCCAGCGACAGGTCGGTTCCCTCATGCGAACCCTGGATGAGGCTCGAGCTGATCTGCAGGACTTGCGAAACCGCATCTCGCGTCTGGAGAATCCCGTGGGAGCACTTACTCCGCCCTGATGTGCCGCCGATGACATTTTGATCTGGACTCGGCCTGGCGTCCTCGAAGGTTGCCAGCTCATGGACTGTGACTGTGACTGTGCCGTGGGCCGTGGGCTGCGGCTGGCGCCCTATGACATGTGCCTGGCCAGCAAGCTGCCAGGGCCAGCAAGCCCCCCCGGCTTGAACAGCACGTTCCTGCGTGTGGGCGAAGGCCACGACCACTGTGCAACGCCGGTTCTACTGTTGCGCGCGGCTGGTGGTCTTTCGCATCCCCTCCGGGTCCATGCCGCAATCTCGGAACTCGTTCCGAAACTCCTGGCCGATGGCAACTGGTCCGCAATCTTTCTTCTTCAGTGCTGGGCGCAGTCGCAGTTGGGTCTCCAATCGAAGGTCGGTCGCGACCGTCGCCTCGTCCAGGCTTCAGAGTCCTAGGCAACAGCGTGTGGCTGTTGCCACACGATCGTGGAGCCAGTGTCGTATCGAAAGAAAACCTACGGCGGAAAATAAGGTCCTGTGTGCCGGCGTGAGGAGGAACTCCACGCGACGGGCTGGGCTTTCTTCCTTGGTGTCCTTATCTCCGTCGGGTCTTTGCCTCGGTGACAGAGACAGACTTTGTTCGTCGCGGCACACGCCAAGGAGTACAGCATGCGGATTTACAGGATCTTCCAGGAAACAGCGCCCACCGAGCTTCGGGGCACTCGTTTTTTTTTTTGACTTTCCTAAGAAAGCCGAACGACAAGGCTCTGGTAGCGCCGGCGACAGCCTTGAAAATCAGGCTTCTTCTTTGACCTTCCTAGGAGGTCGACGACCAGTCTCCGGCAGCGTGACACAGTGGAAAGTCGAGCAAACAAGGGAGGCCGCCTCTGCATTCAGCGACTGTGCTTGCGTTCAGCGAGTGTGCAAGTCCTGCCCGTATTTAGCGAGTGTGCAAGTCGAACACCAAAGCTTGGCCCTCTCCGACCCCCATAGGACGTTAGCCGGGTGCAGGGGTGGCTGGATACATTAATTATCCTTGGGGTTACACAGCAGGTAATGTATCCTGGGGGGGGGGTGTGGGAATCATGGTCGGGGATGGTGATCAACAAACCGTATTGCTTGCTGGCGACTAGAACCACTTGCCAGCATTCGCGGGAGAACCGGGGAGCCTCGACAGGCGGAGGTCGGTCCCTACGCGGCGAAGCCACGCCTTCGAGCAGGCGGGGACTTTTCCTGATCGCTTCGGAGTGGCAGCAGCAGGGGCAACGAGCACCGTCGCGAGGCTTTCGCAGGGTCTCGGCTCTATATGGCCAGACCAAGCTGACGTCGTAAAGGAGAGGTAGA